TGATAGTCAACTATTCCACTACCTAAATGAGTGAATTCACCAGCAGCAGCTCCACTCTATCCTATTTACAATACTAAACAAGAGGTGAGAGGTGTTTTGGAACGAACAGTCCGCGGATGCCGGCTGCGGTGAAAGAGGGAAAGGCACCCGCGCTCGCTCCCGTGAGGGCGGCAGGGACAGACTCGTACACAGTGAGGCGCGCGGGTGACTCCTCGGGGGTCGGCGGACCCGAGACCAGCCGAGCTACCGCCGAACCTCCGTCCCGGGGGCGTGGCAGCGCCCAGGTCAACATGGCGGCGCCGGAAGTCCGCGCCGGGGAGGCGCCTGGGAGTTGTAGTGCGGGGTGTCCTTCCCCGGCCCCCCCCCCGCTTCTGGCTGACCGCGCGCTGCGGGGCTGCGCCGTTGCTCCTAAGGTCGCGTCCATTATTTCCGTCGGTTTTCCCCCCTTTTTTCTCTCAAACGCAGCCGCAGCTGCTCGTGGTGACTTCCTGTCCTGCCTTCACCTCGCTTTCCTGTGGTGAGGAGGCCGAGGTCCGTGTGGATGTTCAGGCTCCGTGGGCTCCACGGGCTTCGGAACCGCGTCCGGCGTCGCAGCGCTGGGCCGGGTGCGGGAAGGGCGGGCTCGCTCCCCCTCCCTCCCCCTGAAGTCCGTGAACTCCCTGCCGGGGCTTCGGGGCTTCGGGGTTCACCCCGCCCCACCCCATCCAAATCCTGGATTCGAAAGCGTAGTTTTTCTTTCTTTTTTTGGTTTTGTTTTTACTTCTTGAAATGTGTTAAAAATACTTTTTTAAGAGGTGCTTGCTTGTGGAGCCCGAGAAAAGCTCCGGGGGCCCCTCCCTCACGGTCCCGAGAACCGCGTCCCCGCGGGTCCCTTTCCTTCCCGCAAACCGCACGCACAGCCGCTGCCGGGTGCCCCGCTGTCTCTCCGTCTCTGGCCGATCCGATTGGGGGGGGGGGGGGGGGGGGGTTTCTTCCCGAGGCGGCCCCGGGTCTGCGCTTCCTCAGCACCCCCCCCCTGCATTGGGGGGGGGGAGAGAGGG